GTTTCTCAATTAATGCTTCTTATACATTTTAGTGAGTAAAGTGAAAGAAAAAAATGTGAATTGCAGAGTTTTAAATAAAGTCTTTAATTTTTCAAAATTTGTTGGTAATGAATCTGTGGATGACTCTTTTTAATTTCTTTCGGTAATTATAAATATGTATAAAAATCACGAGATGTTGCGAAACAAAGAAAAATCTTGTAAATTATATTATTATAGTTTCTTATATAAGTTAATATTTTAAGATTTTATTTTCTTATTTAAGTTAATAATTTTATTTTCAATGCTCATTTGTGATACTCATTTATGATATTAATGCAAATAATGACGAAAATTTTAGTCATAATGCTGTGATAGGAGAGAATGAGGAAATGCAGCGCATCTAAAAAAAAGTGAAATATTTATATATGAAAAATGTTTTAAACGCAATAAAAGATAGGATAAAATTAAAGTTAAACATGTCGTCTATAACTGTATTACAGATTTAATAACATTTTAACCTCGTAATATATGAAATTATTGCATTATGAAAAAAGTTCATTTGCGTCGTATTACCGAGAGCATCGTGTAATGGCGCATTACGATTTCTATATTAAAAGATCATTGGAATTAATATCGTTTTTTGATTTTGTGTTAAATTTGAGTTAAAAAATTTCAATAAGAAAGTAATGTTTCTCTTATTCAATTATTAATGAGCATGCATACATTTTAAGAAAATCAGTTAACATTAAAACGAATTTTCTGAATAGATTATCAATATAAGGTTAAGTGAAAGATGAATAAAGTTATAGTAATTTTATTCTTTAATCAGCATAAATATAGTGAACATAGTATATCTACATATTGATATTCTAAATAAATTACTTTTAATTATTCAATATAAACGTTTCAGATAAGATAAACAATATAACGTATCAGATACCTGCATTCTAAATATCACAAGATATAAAATCATAGAAAAATTCATTTATAATTAATTTTACGGATATTTTTTGTACATTATTCAGCTGTAACTTCATAAAAAATATTAGACATTTTTAAAATGCGCTCTGCGATATGTTTTTCCTCATGTCTTCGACAGAAAAGCAACATCTGCCCAGCATTGCTTTAGATATATTATTTCCTTTCATTCTTCTTTGCAAGGTACTTTCTAGAATTTCAAACATTTTAGCACTTTTCTTAATGTGCATTCCTTCAGATACTGCTACAAGGGCAGATCTCAACTTATCTGAAATCCGACAACCTTTTGTCGTCGTACGAGTACGACACATAAACTCGCATCTGTAACAATACAGGTAAGTATTGTTCATAAAGAATGTTATTTGAAAAATTCATTTTAAGAGCAAATAATCGCATATGGCTTGTTACATAAAACAAAAATTAACATATATAATAAACATTAATTAACCATATCTAATGTCAAAATATAATCTCTCAAAATAATACTGCATATTTTCATTTTATTTCCTGAACGTGAACATCTGACGATGAAATCTGATGATAAATTTGTAAGAGAATAACAATATAATATAAAAACAATATATTTTATAAAAATATAATACTTATTTTGCAATATCAGTACAATATTCAAGTGAACGTAACATAACACTCGTGCTTCATCATCATTTCAATGCGCCAGCCTACCCTTCCATTTTGAACGATGTCTGCGCCGCGTTGCCTGCGCGCACTTTTTAAAAAAATTATTAATTATTAAATAAACTAATAATTATTATAATTAAATAAACTAATTATAAGTATAAAGGAGTAAGTATAAGGCTTAAAAGATAAAAAATTCAGTTTTTTTAAATCTTAATGCTATGAATTGATTTTAAAGAAATAAAATTGCATATATTTTTGAGGTGCAATTTTACAAAAGAAAAGTATATCAAACTAACTTTTAGTCGATAAAAATTAATAAAAAAATAAATTGTTCTAAAATTTTGTACATATCTTAGTTAAACATAATTGCGTGCGTGCAGACAGTAATATATAAATGTTGTATACAAAGACAGAAATTTTCAGAATTAAATATATTGTTTTATATATTTTAGAAAATTATATTTAGTTATATTATTATAAAAATAATTAACTATATTTAGCTGCATTTGCTAAAAAATCTGTCTATAATTTCTACAGATGTGTATAACTTTATAAATTTTCACAAAATTCGAAAGCATATCTCATTAGTGTCTTAAACTCTTTCTTTTGTCTTTATTTCTCGCTAAAAACTGTTTTTTTTATATCGCGGCTTTATTTTCGATTCTTCGACATTTCGCAAAACACTATATTAAATTAAAATTAGCATAAATACAAATTAATAAGTGCGCTTTATACAAAGACTATATAATGTTTCTCTAATTAATACAATATTTAAATAATAAAAAAGTGACTATATACACGAAAAGAATAATTTTGCTAAAGTATTTAGCTGGATACAGATTTAAAAACATTTTTATTGGTCCGTCAAAATTATGTAGGACATTCAAACATAACGCTGCAAAAATTTTGACATTCTAACTAATCATCTTCTATATAATTATCTTTGATGGTCCACCAAATTATTTTTAAATCTATATTTAAAACTAAAATTTCAAATATTTTTATTTCTAATAAATCCATTCTTTCCGTGTAACATTATAATTTTAAATTATTAAAATATTAAAAAATGTGAATTGCGCGTGCGCGACCACACAACACACACACACGCGCGCGCGCGCGTACTTTACGAAATATTTAATGAATATTAGTCGGACATTATGTATAGTGAATAATTAAATTTCCATGAATTGACATTAACGCTAGAATGTAAAGGCGAATAGCTGACAATGCATAAGATATGCATGATTATTTGACACTTTACACACGTCATAATTTTATATTGTACAAGTTTCTGCTGGATACTAGAGACACGAAGATAATGTCATCCAGTCAAGTAACTGCATGAGTAACGTGAAGAAAGTGGTTTTGCTTCGGTAAACACAACAGAGCATACATATATAATTACATGCGAAATTTTGTCGATCTTGACTCTATAAATACCAACTCCGCTGAAAATGATTCGAACCAGAGAGTTTAATGATATAATCGAAGAATTTATATTATTAAATCTTACAAAGGACAATCTCGATTTGTACAAGTTAGTAAAAATCCTTGATATAAGTAAAAGTTGACTGCATACGATGTAAATTAAGAAAAAAGGCAAGACTGTAGATCGTTGGTTCCAAGAAATTTAGTATTATAATACGTGACAAAAATCCTAAAACGGCTAATATCTAAAAAAATTGATTTATTTAAAAAATATTTGAAACAAAAGTAATAGAATTTTAACAAAGTTATCAGATGATGATATTAATTTGATTTTGGAATGACTTTGGAAAGTTCAACACAAAAATCTTAAACGGAACTTCCTATTTTTCATAACATATCTTTATAGCTGAGATTTATAGTTGAGATGTTTCCAAAGCACTGGTTACAAACCTTTTCTTTATAAGAACTTTCCGAGTTATGGCATTTGAAAGTTACAATGCCGCCGGCATTAACATTCAATTTCTTGGAACCTACGACCTATACAGTTTTGCCTTTTTTCTTAATTTATATCTTATGCTGTCAACTTTTACTAATATCAAGGATTTTCACTATCTCGTGCAAACCGAGATGGTTCTTTGTATTATAGTATAGCGCTTTAATTTTTTTACCGCGTTGACTCCTATCCTTATCTTTGTACATTAATTGTAATTTGTTTTTTGAAGAATACAAGAGTCCAGTAGTTTAATTTTATTTAGTATTATTTTTTATATCGAATTTCTTCTATGTATGTATATACGTGCGTGCGTGTATATGTGATATATAATCTTTTCCATATATTAATGGATTTAAAAAAATGAACACGTTATTTTTTATTCAGTTAATTTAATTTAGATTTAATTAATTTATACATTTTTTCTTCTATTATAAAAAAACATTTAAATTATTTAATTAGTATATAAACGATATTTAA